TTCTCCTGTCAGGAGACAACAACCGGATCCCGGTGATTGAGTCCCTGAAGATCCGGGAGCAGCAACGCTCGGCCGTCTCCACCAGCTGGCTGCTGCCCTACAACTACACGTGGTCACCTGAGAAGGTCTTCGTGCGCACGCCCAAGGCCAACTACACCCTGCGGGACTACAGCCAGTTCTTCCAGGACATCGGCTTTGAGGAGGGCTGGCTCATGCGGCAGGACACGGAGCGGCTAGTGGATGCCACGGTACCCCCAGGCGTCCCCCTGCACTGCCTGTTCGGAACCGGGGTGCACACCCCAGACTCCTTCTACTACGAGAGCTTCCCCGACCGCGACCCTACCATCTTCTTTGGCAACGGGGACGGCACCGTGAACCTGCAGAGCGTGTTGCAGTGCCAGGCCTGGTGTGGCCGCCAGGAGCAGCCAGTGTCCCTGCTGGAACTGCCAGGCAGCGAGCACCTGCAGATGCTAAACAGCAACACCACCTTGGCCTACCTGAAAGGGGTGCTCCTCGGGGCCTGACACGTCCGGGCCACAGGGCTACTCTGCCGCCGCCTCTCCTGCTGCCTCAGGGGCTGCCTGGGTTTGTGAACAGCCAAGTGTCCGCCATGGGGACCTCTTGCTGACACCTCTCCTCGTGTGGCAGCAAAGGAAGAAGAACTCAAGTCTGAACTCGAGGGGCCTTTGGGAAAAAGAGCACAGCTGTTGCGGGGCCGCCTGGCCCCGGGCTCCGGTCCCCTCCTTCCCCCCCTCTGGAGCCTCAGCTCTCTTAGCCTGCCAGACCTGGCCCAGGCGCTTCCTGTGATTGCTGCCCCTGGAGTCCAGGGGTGGGTGATACCCTCCATTTACAGGCCACAGTCCTGGGCCCCTGGGAGCCTTGCCACTGGCCGTGGGTGCCTGAAATTTCTGCCCTCTGTGGCCTAGCTCCTTGACAGTCTGCCCCTGGTTTCAGGGCGGAGGGTTTCAGTCCTGCCTCCCTCCCGTTCCTCCAGGGCACCAGGGCATGATGGAGGTGGGGGCTCAGGATGGGGCTGCAGATACTCCCTCCCCCTCTGCCCCACTGCCGGGACTGTGTCGCAGGGCCTCTGGGCCTCTCAGTGGGACTGTGGCCTTGGTGTTGACGTTGACTCCCTTTGCCCTGGAGCTTCAAACCAGGGATGAGAGCAAGGCCCAGTGCCATGACCGAGGTGCCTGTGGGGAAGGGCTCAGGGAAGTAGCCAAGCCTGCCCAGAGCTTCCTTGAACTGCCTTTCCACGAACCCTCCACCACACTGCCACCCTGCCCCCTGCCTTAGGGTCTCTCGGGGGCTCACATTGACTGGCCCAGGATGAGAGTGGCGGGGAACCTCTAGCTCAACCTGCCAGGCAGCTGAGTAGCATTCACTCTGCGGGAACTAGCCACCACCCAAGACTTGAGTGGGCTGGTAGGCTGCTCCATTGGACAACCAGGTGCCTTGGGGGCTCTCCTGGGGGTCCCCTCTCTGCTCCAGTGGTGCTGCATAGCAGGGATGGAGGACCGGCCCAAGCATGCCCTGTTGGCTCCACATGGGCATGTAGTCATAGGCCAAGACTTGGGTCTAGCTTCCAGTTGGGCCCCCCCGGGTGGGCCCCCCCCAGGCCCCAAGCAGACTGTGAGGTCACCATCTGCTGTTTCCTTCAAGGTCTCTGTGGAGCTGGTCTCTCTTCATACATTCTCACATCTCCCTCCTCTGGTCCTGAGCGGTGGGCCCTGGTTGGGGCTCTGAGCGGGCTGTACAAACTTGGGTCCCAGCAATAAAAGTGTTCTGGTTGCTGTAAGCTATCTGGCCTGGGCTGTACTCTGAGCAGGAGGGAGGGAGGGAGGGAGGCAGCAGGGGGTGAGGGAGCCTGGGGAGGAAGGCCTCCCTCAATCCCCCTTCCTTCCTCAGCCCTGGTCTCCCCACAGCTTAGGATTTTTAACGTATTTTGAACCTACCGTAGCCCACCCTACCATTTGCTTCTTCAGGCTCATTTGCCTATCATCTCTCTGCCCTTGGGGACAGACACAGAAGAGAGACCTGCTGGATTGGAGTGAAAAGAAACCCAGATTGACTAAGAGAAAGGGATAGAGTGGCAGACTGAGGACCAAATGGAGATGGACCTAGAGGTCTAGGCAAGAACAGATAAACAGATACCATCCATCCGAGAGAGAGAGAGAAAGAGAGAGAGAGATGGGTGGGCTCCAGCCGAAAATCTGGGGTCCAGTGCTCAGGGCTTGCGGGAGGTTGGGGTGGGTTGGAAGGACGTTGAAGTTTCTATTCTAGTCGCTAATACACCTTCAGCCACCAGAGGGCGCTCGGAACCCTGTCACTGCACAGGTTCTAAGTCAAACCTGCCAGGCAGAGGTGCATGAGATTCTCGGTACACAGGTACTGTGGCACAACTAGCCTCGCTGGCCTTGGTTCCATGATAAAGAGCAAGCCCTCTTCTCCAGGCCCTGCTCAGCCCAACTCTGCCCTATGACCCACCCACTCATGTCACTCGTGGTCCTGCTGGCCACGCACTCAGCCCTGACCCCGCTCAGCAACGCTGACCTGCCTGGTTTCATAGCCGAGGAGGAAGGGTATGGACTCAGAGCCAGTTTCGGGATCAGCACACCTGGATCCATGTCCCAGTTGGCCCCAGCCAAGTAACCCAGAGGTTGTCCTGACACTTTGAGCTGATTTCCTCTGAAGAGTGGGGACGATCTGGTCCTGCAGAACATTGTTGGGATTCTCTGACGCAGGGCTCGGTGCACAATGTCCTTTCGGGTGACAGAGCGAAGCCAGAGGTCTGGGAGTTGCCAGAGCCTGTGTGCAACTCCTGGAAGGGCAAGTGGGCCGCCTGCTATTGAGTGAAACAGATGTGCCCCGAGCTTTCCCTCTGCAGCCAGGGAGGGAGGAGGACACTGATGGAGCAGGTGAAAGGGCAGGCTGGAATGACTGCTGATTCACATCCGCACTGTTCACACTCGGGTATGGTGCCCCAAAGGAAGGAGGGGCACTCGGAGGGCAACACCTGCTAAGGCTTCAAGGCTCCCGATTTATCATCTCAGCAGTGAGGGCCACTGCCACCCGGGAGACACAAAGGCATTCCATTCCAGTCTCCTCTGTTTTAGAAGGCTCCTTCTACAGCAGTGGTTCTCAACCTTCCTGATGCTGTGACCCTTTCATACAGTTCCTCATGTGGTAGTGACCCCCCCAACCATAACATTATTTTTGTTGCTACTTCATCACTGTCATTTTGTTACTGTTTTGAATCAGGCAACTCCTGTGAAAGGGTCTGCCGACCCCCAAAGGGGTTGCGACCCACAGGTCGAGAACCACTGCCCTACAGGGATGGGTTGGAGGGCGCGAAGCAGGACAGGGTCTGGGAGCTCTCTGGGGTTACGACAGTGTCCAGGTGTGGCTCACACCCACTGACTTGTTGCTTTCAAGCCCACCCGGACTCAGTGAGGGACTAGGATGGTAGAACATCCCCATGAGCTGTCACCAGTATGGCTGAAGTTATCAAGGGTTTTATCTTCCTTGGGCCGGTAATCGATGCTCATGGAAGTGGCAGAGATCAGAAGACACATTGCATTGGGTAAATCTGCTGCATGGGACCTCTCTGGTTTGTTGAAGAGCAAGGATATTTCTTGGAGGACTAATGTGCACCTGCCCCAAGCCATGGTATTCTCCATTGCATGGAAGTTGGACATTGAATGGTCGTAGAAGAATAGATGCATTTAAATTGTGCTGGAGAAGAATAGTGAAAGTTCCATGGACCAACCACTAAGCGCCGATCTGTACATCTGTATCAGAAGAAGTAAGGCCAGAGTGCGCCTTAGAGGCAAGGATGGCAAGACTTCGCCCATCCTTACGTCCTTTGGACGTATTGTCAGGAGAGAGCAGTCCCTGGAGAAGAACATCATGTTTGGTAAATTGGAGGGGCAGCAAAAGAGAGGGAGGCCCTGCATCAGATGAGTTGACACAGTGTGATAGTTATATAATCTGGTGTCAATTTGAAGAATCAGAGTGAAGGGGTGGAGTCTAGCCTGCCAATACGATCATTGCCAATGAGGCCTTTGTGTGGACATGGCCTTCTGAGGATTCTGGGAACTCCTGCATTCCTCCTTGGAGGCGGGAGACACACACACTCTCTCTCTGCTTACTCTCTGAGAAACTCTACTGACAAGACATAGGAAGCTATGCTGATGGCAGCAAGAGCCCTGGACCTGGAGAAGCCACATGGAGACCCCTGCCAGCACTGAGATGCTTATAATGCCACAGGATCCACAAGGCTTCCCACCCACTGGCCTGTGCTCTTCCTGCATTTGACATCATTGCATGTGTTTTGTGAGTCTGAAGAGGACTTTATAGATTGGTATCAGACATATGGGCTAATATCGATTGGACTTATGGACTTGATCTGGGTTGGGATGTTTTTTCAATATTCAGTGGTTCTTGTATAGAAAGCTTTTTCTTATACACACAAGTGTCCATGAATTTGTTTCTCTAGTCTACCCAGACTAACACACACACACACACACACACAGTGTCCTCATCAATGGGCTCAGACATAGGAACAAATGTGAGGCTGGGGCAGGACCTCCCAGTGTTTTGTTTGTTGTGCATATGGTTGCTATGGGTTAGGGCCGAATCAATGGTACCTAACAACAATCTTTATGGAAGCAGACTACCATAAAGATCTTTCTCTCTTGGAGAGGCTGGTGGACTTGAACTGCTGGCCTTTCAGTTAGAAGCCAAGTTCTTAACCACTGTCCCACCAGAATTTCTTAAGTGTGCTCTTGACTCATTCACTCAGAGGGCAAAGGTAGAATTGCCCCTGTAGAAACTCTTATGGAAGAACTCTTAAGGAAGCATTCTTTACAGAGGTAGAAAACCTCTGTCTCCTTCGGAAGGGCTGCTGATTTTGAACTGTTGACCCTGTCGTTAGCAGCCTAACATGTAACTCAGCAGACCCCCTTGGTTCCTTAGGCGTGCCTCTAAAAAACCTCGGTCCAAGATGCTGCCCGTTGAGCATTGGTCACTGGGTGTGGGGAGAACAGGGGCTTAGATGAGTCAAGGACAGAGGAAGTACAGTGGTAAACTGTCTGGAGAAAAGACTCCACAGCTGGCAGCTGGTCAGCACCTAAGGTGTGTGGCCCGGAAGCTGGGGCAAGGGCCCAGCTGCCAAGGTGAGCAGACCCTGGCACAGCCCCAGAGTTACCAGGAAGGTGCCCTCTAAGGAAGTGGGGAGGAGGAGAGCAGGAGAATGCAGTTCCCCAAAAAGGGTGTGCACAGGCTAGGGGAAGATGAGGATTGAAGGGGGTGCACAGGTTGGAGCCCCAAGTAGGCCGAGACTTGGCTGTGGGTGCGGGTCCGGGTGTGTGTGTGTGTGTGTGTGTGTGTG